TCTAACGGCCGGAAATACGTCATGCTACATGTCTAATCGCGCTACCTGCGTTCTGCGCCTTGCGTCTCATGTAGATGGGTCTTTACGGCGATAACCTCAGACGAAACGCAGCTGCGTTCTTCTACACCGCGCGTCACGTCACGTCACGTCGTGTCGCGTCTCGGTCGACCTGGTGCGCGATTGGCAACTGACGGCGACGGTGTCCATGAGATATGTCGAAGTGAGTATGTCCCGGTGGGTGCTGGTGGGAAGGGAACGTGTGCCTGAGAGACGCGTCCAAGATCTCAGCGGGACTCGCGCGTACGCGATTTGAGATGGCGCTCTCTTAAAGTGAATCAGGGTGATAGTTCCGTTTCCGATCAAATCCATAAAACATATATTCATGGACGACCAACAATTCATCCTCGATTAAATCTAATGAAGCGAGTCCGAAAGAAGCTCATCCTGTTCTATCGAAAAGAATTATATAAACCTCGTAGTTCATCAGGCTGATATTGGAGATTAACCCTAGAAATAACCCTTTATTCTATGCTCCTGATCCTACGGTTTTGGAGACGTTTAGCGATTAAAGAAAGGGAAATTCGAAGGCTTTTTAATGGCGACATGTATATATTTTCAAAAAATATCACACGTTGGGGAAAATTAATGGGAAACAGTGGAAAGAAGGGGTTTCTAGGATTAAAAATTGCGAATCAATGATCAGAATTCAAAACAGGGTAGACTGGATTTTGTTATCTCGGTCGGGCAAATTCTAATTTTCAATAATCTAATACGGACTTTATTTGAAAATTCTCCTAATCAGAACAAGATAGACATCTTTTTAGACTTATTTCACTAGATCTAGCGGAGGACAAATCGTTATTCATGAATGTATTTCACCGATAACTGTGAGCATTCGGTGATTTTCAGCGAAAACGATCCCATTTAGTTCTTCCTATAAACTGCATTCCGAAAATTCACTGACAGTACTGACAGTATTGTTACTGAAATCAACCTATTTCAGTTGTTTCGAGATTGCTGGTAAACTATCAATGCTTGGAAAATTGAAATGCATTTGCAATATCATGCAATATTATTAAATAACGTGCGTTCACACGATATAATCTACCTAAAGTATAAAGAGTGTGTAAAAGTGAAATTAGAATTATATCCAATCTAACACTTGCGTTAATTGGTGTGCCGAAGTATTATAAATTCTATTGAAATATATAATTTTCAAGGTTTATCATCAAATGATGAAGAAGATATTTCAAATATTTTAATGTGACACGATGGCCATTGGTGTTTATATTACGCCTGAAAAATTACATTAAAAATATGATAGCTTTCATTTCAGGTAAAGAATTTTAAAAAACACATTTAACATTTAAAGGACGAGGTGGTTTGCGAACGATTTCTATAGTTTTCAATTTAAAACTTTGAGATATGTACCATAATGATTTATAAAAAAGTTGTAACCGCTCTAGAGCCGATATATCGGCTTCCCGTCTGGAACAATTGCAAACATTTTCAGATTAAACGAACTTGTGAAGTGAAATTCGATCTTAATTATGCCTCTGGTCTCCTCCGAAAGGACAAACAATGCAGTTATGCTTCCTGTCTTCATTATCAACAGAGTTCATAACTTTCGCTTAAAATAAAAAGGCACACGTTCCATCGCGTTACGCCCGCCCTGCAGCGCTGCGCACGCATATAACTTCATTCTTACCAAAATCTCAAAGCAAATCGCCTGTAAGAGACCTACATAGCGGGAGGGGAAGAAAACTTTGGGTGGAAAGGTCCATCCAGACGAGACCAGAGGCACAATTAAAATCGAACTTCACTTCACAGGTTCGTTTAATCTTAAAATTATGCTGTAGCCTTATCGGGATGGACAAACTATATAGTTGCTCAAAGCGCGATTTGTCGTTAAATACAAATGTTATTTAATACTGAATATAAAAGTAATTAATATCACAATAGATTTTACGTAATAGCGAATAACAAACCTCAGCGTTACCAAAAGGATAAAACAGGAAATAGAAAAAAAAAACGTAAATTAACTATGCGGAAGAACTAAAGCTGTGGGGAAACTAAAAATATATATTTCACTGTACGATAACAGAACTACTATTTAGAATAATAGAACAGAGTTGCTAAATTCTATTGAATATAGAGAGATTGTAAAACCTTGCAAAGACGCAGGATTCCCTGGGCCAACCTGCAGCTCGTTTGATAAGTTTCATAACGATTTCGTACCTAGCAGCTAGCGGGAGCTGATGTTTTGATTTGGAATGCCAATAACGACATTATTCGGCAGAGAACGAAATTTGAAAAATTTTAATCGCTGAGAAGGTTTGTGCATGTTGCCTCGATTCTGATGCTAATTGAAGAATTAATTTTTTGGTGATAATACTCAGCGGTAAATCATCATAAATATGCTTGTCAGCTTTGCATTACAATTGCAGACGCCAAAACCCAAATAAAATCATAATGGGGTCTTTAAGGCTTGATAACACTGACACCCTTACAAAATCGTTGAACCAAAGGATACCAATCTTCTTATCGGAAATAAGAGAAATCGCCGAGAGTATTGTAGTAAATGTCGAGTAAGTGCCGACATTTTGTAGTTTCTAAGTTAAAAATTCAAGGAATAGTGCTTTGTCCTCATATGCTTTAATTGATGAACGGAATAGTAGCGCTTTGTCTCTATAAGTTTCTCGTAACATTGCTGATGTTTCTATGAACGTTTTACCTAATTTCACACAAAATTTGATATTTGCTCTGCTCCATCATAATTTCTCGACGAGTGTCATAAAGGTTATGTCGGTTTTATACTTGTAAAACAACCGTTAGAGGGACCTCAATTCAACTTACAGAATTTGTGAACTAAACTTCAACAAAAATAGTGCAACCTTGTTTGTACAGAGGGCGCCACTAATATTTTTTCATGTAAAGAATGATACAACATTCATGACGCCGACCGCACATCTCACCATCTTGTAGCACGCTGAAAATTTCGGGATGCAGAAGTAGTATTATCAGTACTGTCAGTATATTTTGGAACGTCTTACACCTCATTTGATTTTGATGAGAGTAAGATTTCATTGTAAAATCTATAATATTTCATTGGCTGCTATTAGCTAGGTTTTTTTCAGCGATATTGTATTAATACCACTATAAATCCAAGTGTACAGTAAGTAAATATTTATATGAATTTACACATTTCTGTGTAAATGATAAATGTATAATTTTATTTTTCGTATAAAAATTACACGCTTTACCGCATAAAGAAATAAATTTACATATTACATTGTTAAACGTTTAATATATTATAAAAAAGTGTGTAAAAATGAAGGAATGTGTATTTCCAATTGATGTAAATATGTAAAAGATACACATATATATGAAACAGTATTACATATTTTTAGGTCCTCTTACACGTGAGTTTCAAATGCAATTATGAAGAAATGTGCATTAAGTTGGGAAGGAAATTCTTATTGTTTTTTGATCAAAAGTTCGATAAAAGTATTAAAGATTTTCTCCTTAAGCAGTAAATCTAATTTTTATTGTTTTCTATATAATAAAAAAAAAAGACCGGAAGATTCTTCCAGATAATAATTATCCAAATAATGTAAATTTTCAATACAATAAATTTATCATAAAGGTATGCAATAAAAAGACAGTTTTCTCTCTATAAAATCAATTCATGGTTAATCGATTCAATATTATTAAAAATCAATATATTCATGGCCGTTAATGATATTTTTTAATAGAAAAGATGAAAAAGGATAAGAAAATGTGAAATCCTTACACGTAAATCCCACGTTTTAAACATGTAATTTAATATAATATAAGCCTGTAAAATGTACGTACGCGCGCGTATGTAACCGCGTTGAGTAACACAGATAAAACGTGTGGCAAGACAATATGCGTAAAAGTGCGTGAAATACGACTGCACGATTACATCGGTGTGCGCAGAAATGACACACTTGAATTTACAGTGCGATTGCAGTGCTATACTTGCACAAGCGCTTTTCCAACGTTTTCGAACGATGATACACTGATTTCACTTTAGAGAGCGATGGTCCGTTCTTACGCCACTACAAGGCTGTCAGCCGACGGCCAGGAAGGCGCGTGTCACGTGTTTTGGACACGCAGGTAAACGTCCTCCGGCTGACTGAGGAGGTGGTGTATCTGCTGCATGGTGCAGAGCGGACAGACCTCGTCCTCGGTGCCGTCGGCGACGAGCCTCCTGGCGGCGCCGGGCGCCCTCCTGCTGCCGCCGGCCGCGTAGTCGACGATATACGAGTAGCCGTCGGAGTCGATCGAGCCGGATCGCGAGGCAGTCGGTCTTACTCGCTTGCAGGCGGGATTAACGGCGACCTCGGCGTGCCTCGCGGACTCTAACTCCGAGTCCTTGAAGTCTATGTAGGAATAGCCTTCGGAGTCGACCGAGGGCCGCCTGCGAGCAGCGATCACTGGCCCGTTCGACGGGCTCGACGGCGGCCGCGCAGGGGAGGCACGGCGCCTCGCGGCGGCACGGTGGGTGGGAGTAATGGGGATGCCGGAGTCGCGAGGCCTCGCGGGGACTCGTGTGTCGGCCGGGTAACCGTCGGAGACCAGGCTGACATCGAGCTCCCGGCAAGGCGCGAATTCTCCGAGCGGGCTCGCCGGGGATGACGGCCCGGCAGTTGCGAGCAGAGGGGGCGAGAGAGGCCGTTGGCTCGTGATTAGGGCGTTCTGCGTGGCCAGCAGCAAATGGCTGTCCCGCAGGAAGTTGCTCTCGTTTCGCAACAACGGACTGCTCGGACCGCGGCTCGGCCGAGGGGGCGACTGGGAAGCGATCGACAAGGGGACCCCTTGCGATTTGGCCAAGAGAGCCCGCGGGGTCCGATAGCCGCCCAGGACCGCCCGCGACGGCTTGTCCTGGACGCGCAGTATCGACCTGGGGTCGCGGTAGTCGAGATAGTCGAGGTGGTGCGGCTGTTGCGGTCGTTCCCTGCGTGGTAGTAGCGGTGGTTCGCGTGGCGCCGCGGGATTTCGTACCTCGATCGTCGGCGCTTGGCCGCCGTGGTGGCCCGCCGTCGCCGTCGGCAGGTGGTTGTGCAACTGCGAGTGCGACATCGCGTCCGGCAGGTCCTCGTAGAGAACGGCACCTGCGGCGTTGCCGCCGCCGCCTGGCCCGTGCGCCTGGCCGTCAGGTAGCATGCGACCCCGACCGCCGACTGCCGCCGCGCCCGCCGCGCTCTTGCACGGCAGCAGATTTTGCACTTTCCGCTTATGCCTGTAACAGAAAAGTAGACATCGCATTGTCAATCGAACGGCTCGGACGTGGAAGATTCTTGCGGGCGCTGCGAAGATATCTTAGCTTCCGACTCTCCGGGCGTGAAACCCGTCTAAATCGCCAGGTTCATCGGTTTTCCATCAAGGGCTATGTTCAGTAGAGTTATCGGTTTCCATCTGGTCAAGTAAGACGAGGAGAAAGTGGGATATCGAGGGCAACAATATCTAAGACAATTGTCGATATCGATTATCAAAAGTGCTTGGAATACAGTATCTGGAGCCATTCTAGAATCGTTTAACACTTTGCGTAGTCCGCGTTCTGAATATGAAGTTGTCACGCTCTCTAACTCGAGCATTGAGTCTATATTGAGAAAAAGTGCTGCCGTTCAAATAATATTTATTTGATCCGGTAAAATGATTACTCCAATACTTTTTAGCAAATCTTTAGTAGTAGTGGACATATAATTGACTATATGCAATATGATATTTCCTTTGTATAAATGAAAAGATTTACTTATTTATTTCTATGTGTTAAAACAATTGCAAAAAACATTAAATTTATAATACTGAAAATATTAGGATTTATTAAAAAAAAATATTTACAGAAAAATAGAAATTTAAAAGGTTTCTTTAGTGGAAAAGGAAAATTACATAATTGTGAATAAGTACTCACATTTTAGAATTTTATACTTACATAATTCATTAATTCAGCAATTCAGTAATTCATTTACAAATTAAGATATTACTCAAGTATTGCTCAAGTATTTATCACAAGCTCTTAAATTGTTCAAAATATTACTTGATTTAAGAAGCTGAAAAACATTACGTTTACTTGATTTTAGCACTTTTTTCTGTGTATGATTCATACTTAGCCGTACTTTTCTGCCAAACTAGAAATATTTAGTTGCAAGCAACTATCATAGACGCATCATCTTATTTATCTTTGTGTGATAAATATGTGTATAGTTGATATGACTTATTATTTTGGTGTATCAATTACATCAATATAATTGCCGGTGTTGGTTATAGCAATTAGAACTTGGTTGAGAAGTCCATATTGTAAAGTAGCGATGTTAGAAAATAAAGGTAACTCACTACCCTAAACATAAGAATATAGTGAGTTGGACTCACTGTTTGCCGATCATCGTGATGAAGCGAGAGCGACCGTGTACTAAAATAGATAGGCGACCGACCCGAGTAATTATAATGAATAATAAATAGCGTGCGTCTGTATTGTTCTAATAAAGGGGAAAAAGCAATTTCGTAATTTTCACTTGTTTCATCGATAGGCGTGTGATATGATTCCCGCAGACTCAAAAAGTTAAATTCGGTCAGTCGGCACAATTCTATACGTCACTAGGTTTTCATTTGGAATACCATCTCGGAAAGCTCGCAGTGAATTCCTCAAGTTGGACGAGCGGAGGATGTTGATATTCTACTTTGCTCTCCTCCTCTTCATCCTCCTCATCCTCTTCTTCCTTTTCCTTTTCCTACCCCTGCTGCCAACCAGCTCCCGTCGACACACCAGATTAGTTGGGAGCTCGTTGCAATTGTTTGTACAAGCGGGCGCTTTGCTGTGGGCGCGCTCGAGAGCTTTCCTCGGTGTAAACTTTAATGAATCAGGCACTGCGTTTGCCTATCAGCGTCGTTTTACATGTATACTGGGTGTCCGTTGCACTTCTTTTCAGTTTTGTATTCCCAGCCCTTCGGATTCAGAGAGTTGATTTTCAGTCGGTGGAAGAATCATCGAAATTCGACGCGAATTATAAACGATCGAATACGGAACGATTCTCCTTTTAGCGAATTAAAGGTGAGTCACGAGTGAAGGTGAAACTGAAAGCCACGAAGAATTCTCGAGTCGAAATTTTAGTTCTACGTTAAGTCTTCAAAGGTTCTCTCCGTTGTGCTATTTTGATGCTACAAATAGGATTATTCGTCGTTTTTTTCTACATCAAGACTTAATATATTAAGTTAAGAACAATATATCCATAGTATAATTTTTAGTATGTTTTGGTACTGTAGAAATTTACAATTAGAAATTTAGTCTCCCGTATTTAATGGGATGTGTTGAGTACGAGGTAATTCCTAGTCACCCGGTATAGCGAGAACTTTTCGCCGCATTCATCATCTCCTATGTGAATTAACATACGCTTGACGAACATCGCATAATAACGCGGTCGTGATTGCTACTTATTCCGTATCTGCTGAATTGTCTAAATATATGTCTTTAACATACATAAATCGGACCGGATATTCTCACCTTCAATTAGCATCATGCGTTGCACGGAACGCGGAAAATTGGCTTCTGAATCGCATTTGGTTTAATATCAAAATCGCATTCTCACGTGAAACGAAAGAAATGGACATTTATCGCTAAATTGCAGTCGTATTGCAGATAATTGTGCCTCTCGATTGCGCGCGCATGAATTCATCTTCGAGATGGCGATCATATTTTGAAGATTTCAAGGAGTGCACCATTTGTCGTATTCCAAAGTGTTTTGATAGCTGTAATTATGATTTTCAGACCCGATCTTCCCTAAATAATTTTCACGTTGACCAGTGTAATTAATAGTTACGATGCACGAATATTCGGATATAATGTGCCTGATTGTAAATTTTTTATATCACTATGGCTAAGGAATGAGTGTGCATTGATGGAATCTTTTATACTAAAAGATCACAAGAAATGAGGGAAATTTGAATTCGGTGCGTCGAGTTGCGTTGGCGGGCGAGTTTCGCGCACCTCGCGCTCGTACGTACGCGTTTCTGATCTGTCCATCACAGTCACAGTCGTCTGTCTACATGGCGTACGCTAATCACGGGTCGCGGGCTAAAGCGTTTTAAACTCGGCTCGTCCGACTGAGGGGATTCACTTATCCGGGAGGATTCGCGGTATAAACGCCGGCTGACGAGGGTCGCGAGCTCTGCCGACCGGAGATAATGACGCTGAAACATACGGCCTTGATCTCCGCCGTTACAGCTTCCTTCTTTCTTGAGGGATTTCTTTGTCAACACTACGCAATGTCGACGTCACGTAGTCGTAAATCACGAGAGAAAGGAGAGAGATAGATAGATAGAGGAAGAGAGAGAGAGAGAGAGAGAGAGAAAGAGAGAGTGGGTGAGGGAGGGGGGGGAGGGGTTTATCGGACAAAAATTTGTATCGTAGATCGAAGAATTCTGTAAAATCATATCTTTACATTCGTCTTAGAAAGATTCTTCGAACAGATGCATCGTGCATTGAGAAAAATGTTTAGCATTTGGAATTATAATAATTACCTAACTGAAATAATTATAATTCGGAAGATTATTTTCTATATTATCACATACACTATAGTAAGCCTGACTACATTACATACATGATCGTTGACAATAATTTTATATGCGTTGCAACTGTATTGTTTGATGTCAGCAGCGTATACCCAAAATTCTCGCGAAATACGTCGAATTCAAAGGATACGTCCGTAAAATGACACGACCGAGCGATCGAGCACATCGCTACATTTTTCTAAATTGTTCTTCCAATTATAATTCATTCACCATGATGATTATAGATACAAATACGAAATATTTTTCTCTCAATGTAGGGATGTAGGATTTTTCTCAATACGCCGCGAGAGAAGAGGAGCAAAACGCGCGTGACAACAATCTCGGTGAAGAGACCGGCACAGATTTTTCCTCGTAATTATTTTTCGCTCATATACGCTCTAACTCTTAAATACGAAGCTGAAGATTAAACGCAACGGGAACTTCTCCGATTTGCGGTGCTTCGCCGATCCCGGCCGTCTTAAATCTTTCAACGTCTCGCGACCGCGCGCAGACACCGACGGTATCTGCATGTACATGTTCATGTATATTCAAAGACGGGCGCGCCGATGGGGCAAAGTAGTTTACCCTTCAAGTTTTAATTATCTAATTAACTCCGTCAGTTCGATAATATTTGCCCGTGTAATTAAACTGCAAACTAAGGTTAACAACTCGCGATGCATTTGCGGCAGTAGGTCGAGGTGGAGCTGGTGGAAAACGAGGAAATCGACATATTTCAAATGAGAAATGCCGGTAAAAGAGGAAGCAGTGTGAAGACGGCGAGGCGGTGAGGAAGGGACGAGAATCATCACGTGGCGGGCAAGGAGAGAAGACGGCGCTAAGACGGTGTGAAAGTACCGGACCGATCGATTATGGGATCGCTGAATACGAAACTCTTACTTCTTGCACAAACATCGTACGAGCAAGATTCGTAGGTGACCCAAGCATATATTACGTCAGCCTTCTCCCTAAAGGACTTTTCTCTTGACGCAAGAAAGTATAATCGCTATAAAATTGCGTTGGAATGAATGAGGTCACTAAATTAATTATTTATAATAATTAATTTAATCTACGATTTATGCGCTTTCATATCTAGGTAACTTCGATTTTTGCGCCGCAACCCCTAAAGGATTTCTCTCGATGCAAAGGCCGTAATAATAAAATTAGCAAAAAATTTCTTTAAAATGAAGAAGATCGTTAAAACGTATAAGCACACAATTATATATCTTTGCTATTTATTTTGTAATAGTTAAGGAGAAATTAACTGGTTAGAAACTGATCAAAAACTGATATAAAATTGCTCGTGAAATTTGCCAAAAATTGTTTAGAAACTAGTCAAATACTGCTTAGAAACTGGTTAAAATGCAATTGAAAACTGATTAAAAACTGTGTAGTTTTACTGTCCAGTTTTTGATGAAGTGAGCTTCGACCAAACCTGTAAAATTCTGTAAATTTCGCCAAGAAAACTGGTCAAAAACTAGCTAGTTACCGGAATTCATGGTCAGTTACTGGTCAGAAACTAGATGAATTTCTACTTGGGCTATAAAAAGGACATGTCTCTAGGACGTGTCTCCATAACTAACTTATCGCTTCGAGTGTGCCTTGGTTAAATCGTCACGCTCTACTTGATCCCGCGACAGAGTTTCACCGACAGAGCATCTACATCCCCATCAGAACAGTGGATGTCACGTTTTCGCC